AATCGAGCTCAAGTAAGTAACTTTCCGTCACAATTGTCGAGTGTACAGAGGGGCGTTGGCAACAAAAGGGGATGACTGCAGTGGAAGTATCAGAAATAGCAGCTGCTGCCCATTTGAGGGCTAGAATGGGGAATTGTTTCTTCACCTAGTTTTTCTGCTACTCGCAACTACACTTTTTTTTCGCTTTTTTGTTTTTTATTTTTTCTGCTGATAACTTTCAAATGCAATGCCGCAGGCTGTTATGGCATGGCAATAATGCAAAACACAACAGGGGGTGGTGGATGCTGGCGGCTGGCGACTAGCTTGTGTTGGTTTGCGAGGCAAATTCTGACGTTCAATTTCTCATAAAAGTTTCCCCATGGCAGCTGAAGCAACACGGAGCAACCGACACAACCGACACAGCACAGTATCCGCAGGACAAGTCGAAGGAGAAGAGCACTGCCGACGAAAAGAAATATATATATGACACACAATTCAAACTTGGGAATTGCATTCCATGTTGCCTGAATATTTCATAGAAAAAATAAAAATACAAAAAAAATGGGAATCAGAAATGTGAGCGGAATTGATGATTCTATCGGCTGGGGGTACATCATACCATACCTTAAGATTATTTTTTTCCACCTTTGTGTGTTTGTAGCACGTAGTATTTTTAATATAAACCTGCCACTTTTGAGCTCTCTATTTCCCTCTGTGTACGTCTATCCGTCTGGAGTAGTCAGAACCACTTTGGCATTAAAATTAAAAACACTTCCTCTTCTGGTGCCGGAAACAACTGTAAAACGAGGCGCATTCCCATTTACAGTTGTTCCAGCCAGCCAGCCGCTTGAGGCCCAACTTCCGGCCGCGATGTTGGCCATTTTGTTTTTACAGGCGCCTCGGTTGGATTTGCGGCCCAACAGTCGTCGTTTTCATCTCCTTGGGGGCCTGGTGGGGCTTTACGCATTTCACTCAGGACTCTGGGGAATCAGGCGACTCAGAACTCAGAAATGATTCAGAGAAACTCAGGATTCCGGATTGGGGACGGAAGGGTATTTGCGCCCTTGGGAATCGGCTTAGAGGTGTGAACGATTGCCGGGAAATCCCGAAATCCCATACTTCCCACGCACACACACACATGGCATGACAAAGCCATAAATATGTTAATCAGAATGAATTGCAATTGAAATTGCAGCGCTCCCAGGATGCCAGCCATTTCTCTTGCTTAGCATACTTTTTGGGGCTTCGGGGGCCAAAGATTTCCGCCGCTGGCTCGTTGTTATTTTAATGTCATGCTCATTAACAGGGAATGCCATTTGCAACTTTTTTGTCAGCTACAGTGCAGCTTCCTTCAATGCGCTTTAAAACTTTGACGGGTTTAAGCAGCGAAATTTTAATTTTAATTAACCTCACTGCCATATGCCAGGCATCAGCATCAACATCCGACAAACCGCAGAGAAGAAATTATGCAAAGGATGGAAAAGCAGAGAAAAAATTAAATAAATAGGACGATGGGGGGGGGTTTGAGTGGAGACAGAGGCCACGGCTCGGGGCACATCAGATTAAAAAGTAAACTTTTTAATAAAAATCACTTTAGCATTTCATTTGCTCTTCCACAAAATGAAGAACCCGAAAAAAACTTTGTGGTTAAAATTAAAAATACTTATTTATGCAGCAAACAGCAAACACAACAATAACGGCAGCGCAAAAAATATAAATAAAATAATGAAAAGAAAAAAAGAGAAATGTGTTTATATTTTTTCTTCCTCCAAACAAATAATGAAAAGCGTTCATTGTGGTCAAAAAAAAATGAAAATAATAATGAAAGAAGTCCGCGAATAACTGGAGGAAAAGGCCAAAGAGCTGCGAAGTGCAGCCACAGAAGATAATACATAGAAATTTCAGAAGGCCAACCCAAATATGAAAACAAAGGCCCCCCCGACAAATTTGCATATTAGGAATGGAAAGGGAAAACTTAACAAAAATTGTTCAAGAAAGTTAAAAAACATAAAGTTTTGGACCAAAGACCTAACAAAGCCAAACAATACAGGCCAGTACACGAGGCTTTATGCTTTATTTCATTACTCTTGTTGTTTCTGGCAAATCACCTCTGAAAGTGAGTTCGAGTCCGAGTCCATGTCCGAGTAAGTGAAAGAAACGGATTCACTGCAAATTAAACACGAAATTGAATTCTGCTCATCATAATTTCCCCAAGGATGCTTATTAGGCCAAAAGAAAACGGGCTACGGACTACAGGAAAGCCCCCAAAGATTTCATCCTGTTTCCTGTTCCTTTGAATTGCGGAATTCTTACTCGACTCGGCGTTGTCATAAGTGCAACTGAGACCTAGTCTGCCACTGCTGTTATTTTCTGATTATGCCACGGAGGCAAACGAAAAAAAAAAGGAGGGAAAGATGATGATGGGGAAAACAAGACACACACATACCTAATCCAAAGGGGAAATTGACAAAAGAAACTACAAGGGCCAGGGAAAAGTGATCAACTATGCATAAACTCATTTGGCAGGTCGGCGGAAATGATGGGGTAAGTTTATCGTCAGGGAATCCAAACAAGAAGGGAGTCGAGCTGAGACTTTCAACAGATAAACACAACAAATGTCAATTGAGTTGTTACCATTTTAGCTTTTACCTTTCAAATTGCAAATTAACTTTGCAAAGAACACATCAACAAATGGTCCAATCACGGCCATAATATTTGCCAACACGAAACATATTTAGACGCCCAACAAATTTTGGCTCCTGGGCTAGCCAGCAAACCACGAGCAAACATGCAACCCAGCTGCTAACCAAGAACAAAACCAATAAAAAATAAATAAATAAAAAATAAAATGAAATAACAGAAACTCATCCTAGTACACTCCGTTTCAAATCAATTGAATTTCGACTTTTTAGCTGGAAGCAAACTAAAACTTTATCCCAACAACTAAGTCCACAATACCATAGACCCGACAGCCGAATGCTGAATACCGAATGCCGTGGCCATGGCCAATTATCAAACAAATAGCATGGCTAAGAAAATTTGCTTGTGAAACTTTTTAGATTGTTTGGAGGATGGTTCTGCATGGTTCAGAGGCTACTACTTACTATCGAAAATCAACGAAATAACTCCCTTGAAGAAGCTGCGGGGGAGCAATGGCCAACAAAAGTTTTCCAAACTGAACTCAACTCCCCACAGTGTGTTTGATATAAAGAAACTTCGGATAGGGGTTGCTGGGTGCCAAGACAAGCCATGAACCAAAGGCACAAAGTAAGAGCCAACCCCCAAGTCTCTAATTGAAACCTAGGCAACGACGAGAGAACTTCAAGTTTTGCGTAAAATGCAATTAAAAGCAGCAGCCAAGCATCAGTTAGAGACGGATTTTTACTTAATCTTTTGCATCAGTTCTGTCCCCAAAGCCCCAGACCATCCCGAAACACTTTCTAGATCAGAGACGAGGCGGCGATTGTTGTTTTAGGGGCTTGGTATGGGTGTGGGCGGAAAACTTTGGTGTTTGAGCCTGGCCTAATGCTAAAAAGCAAGGCAATTCCAAATGTTATTTACGCACAACAAATTAGACCATCAAGGCTGAAAGGCTGGGCAGGAGCAGCAGCAGCAGCAGCAGGCCTCTAGATTTTGTTTGGCAAAAATTATAAACGAGCCCCCAGGCCAGGTTACATAAGTTTTGATAACAAGCCGAAGCAGCAGTAGGGTTGAAGGATTTTTAGTTTATAGTTTGCGGCTTTCAGATAATGCCAAAGTTGTAACTAGGTACTAGCTAGGTGGCTGCCTCGGGGCGTTGAATTTCCTTTTGCTTCGGTGGCTACTACTACTACTGCTGGTGAAAGGAAGAAAAGTTTCCCAAACGATCGATAAGTAAGAAAGTATATGTATGGCATTTGGGGCGAGAAATTATTCCGTCCAAATTAAGCCAACATCCACTTTCATTCAGGCTGAAGCGCCTTAATTAAGGGATTAGTCTCGCTCGTCCCGAAATCCTTTCCTCTTGATTTGCGGCCATGCAGCATTTATCATTATTTTTCCAAGCGAAAAGCGAAAACTTTCCTCGGTTTGATACTGGCAATTGAAATAGAAATACTCGAAATGCTGCAAATACTGTCGAAGGCTGGGGATACGCTATAAAAAATCAATTAATTTTGCACTTCACACGCACACAGGCACTGTTGCTGGAAGCCAAATCGATTTGTTGGGAAAAAACACACACAGAAGGAGGAAAAGGAAGTGTTGATGGTCCTGGCAGGCCACAAAGTCGACAACGAAATGAAGACACATGTTCCTGCTATAATATTGAGATAGGAGCTGGGGGATCCTTGAATTGCCACCCGAACGGTTCTCATTTCCTTTTTTTTTGTGACACAGTTTTTGCTCTTTTTCCTCTATGGCCGAGAAGGATGCCGACTTTCACTTAGCACCAGGCCGTCGCAGCCAGTCACGTTTTAAGACCCGAAACAAGTCAAGAATTCGATTATTTTTGAACTCCAAAGTCCTCGACTCAAGTCTTGATAGAATTCTTAAGCGGAAGGAAAAAGAGGTGTTTTAATAAGTTAATTTTTTATCCATGTGTGTTCCCCCGATCTCTTTGATACTCTGTGGCATGGGTAAGTGTTTGTATATCAAAGAAAGAAATAAATGAACTGATGAAATGCCAATTTTAGAGAGAGCCTAACCTAATAAGTTCTCCTGAACAGGAAGACAAATAAAAACAATAAATAATTCAAATATTTCAACTCAACCAAACAATCAACACCAACAAACAGTTTGGGTTTATCTTCGATTTCCTTGTTGTCGGCAAAGGAAAAAGGAAAGAAAATTAATGAGACGATGGGTGGGTATGAAGGTGTGTGTGTAATAGTGGTAGTGGTTCAAGGCTGAATGGGTCAATGGTCTTAATTTTTTCTTGGTCTGAGTCTGGGGGTGGATATCTGGGTGTATCTGGGTAAAAGGGGGGCACAACATTTGTCAGCTAAACAGAAACTACAAATGAATAGGCGCCTTCTACTCACTGTAGGGCTGAGGTCGTGTACCGTATAGTGGCTCCTGCAGTAATGGCGAGCGGCCATTTCCAATCTCCTTAACTGAAATGAGATAAGAGCAAATGGCAAACAGTTTGCGCGTGATAAATGTATCCACAAATTTGTTGAATTTCTGTTTGGTTTTTGGTTTTGGTTTTGGTTTGGTTTGGTTGGTTGCTTGGTTTCTTGTTGGTATCTTATATTGTTGTTGTTGTTGATGTTTCTGTTACTGTTGTTGTTGTTGATTGATTGGTTGATTGGTTGGTTGGCTGTTTGGCATTTGTTGTTGTTGTTGATGTTGTTGTAGTGTGTGTATCTGTGGCGTTGCTTCTTCATTTTCTTTTCATTCGATTTCGTATTACTTTTTCTTTGAAACTCCACTACAAGCTAACTAGGAAAAACCCCTATCTCATGTGTGAGAGTGTGTGTGTTTGATTTCCGGTTATCCTCCAGGAAAAAAAAATAAAATTAAATAAGCAAGAGAAAAAAAGTTTCCCATACCGGGAATCGAACCCGGGCCTTCTGGGTGAAAGCCAGATATCCTAGCCACTAGACCATATGGGAGCCACAAGTGCCGGGCTCCCAAAATCAAACATAGTTCCGAAGGAGGGGAAAATGGTGGGCGAAAAGGGGGGCCATGGCATACGATTTGTTCATACATAAATTCACGCTAATGTTTTCGGGTTGTTCAGCTGTTCCCGCGTTATTCATTGCTCAGCATGCCAATGAATCAGTATTTATATAATATAGTCGGGGAAGAAAAAAAGCGAGACCAGCAAAGAGATAGAGACTTTGGGATAGGTCAGTCAAACAAGCTCAAAATTGAAACAAAAAAAATATATAAATAATATTCAGAAACTCGTGCCCCATATACAATACAACTTATATAATACATTTCGAGGGAATTAATTAATGACAAGCACACACGTTTTAGTGAAGATAAAAGGCGACAGCTCCATAAATCAAGAGCTTTTTAACGCAAAAGTTTATCGGGCACTAAGAATTTTTAAAGAGACAAGGAACGACGCCATTTAAACGAAATAGAATCCATCAAAATAAACAATTCTATTGCATATTAGATCCCCAATCATGTTCACACGCTCCGGCAAAGTTCCAGTTTCAGTTTCGGTTTCGTTTTCAGAGTTTTTAGTTTCAGGGCCGACTTGTAGTGGCCCGTCTGACCAAAAAAAATAACAAAAACCACCAATCGTTCAAAGGCGACCCCAATAAATGCATACAGCCATTGCCACTAATGGCCCAACGAGTTGCTCGAGGAGAGAACCTGTTTAATTTATTTATTTGTTTTCGGTGCCCCACTATTTTTATTTTGCCAAATTGTTTGGCAAGAGCAATGCAATTAATTTTTATGTACAGCATTTTGCGTTTGTTTTATTGACTTTTTATGGTTAAATGGGCTAATGATTTACATCGATTGCCCCGCCCGACCGACCGCCAGGAGAAGTTTATTTAACGGCCTTGCAAACGCCAAATCAAGTGGATAATAGTGGCGGAAAATCTGCCCCACAGTAGGGATTTTTGGTCATTTTTTTTTTTAAAGCTTAATATATGGGAAAAATATATTTTGGTTGGCTTTGAAATCTATAATACTTTGTGCTAGGATGGGACATTTTACAATTGCATTATTTTGTACGACCTGGATCGATCTGGATTTTTTTGTTTGTTGCACTTAAAGCTATGAAAATGGTATTGTAGTTAGACATAGAGTTAGATTAGAGTGCTTCAACTGACTCACCTCCGGCACAGTCGCTGTGTAGTCGACGCCTCTCATCTCATCCATGCCGTCGTCTCTTCTGAGACAGGCCGAGCACAATTTCAGTTTTCAGGATTTCTTATTCCTTTATTTTATTTTTTTTCGAATAAATAATTTTTTTTTTGTGTGCCCGGCGTAGGGAACTACATGCATGAGATACGATATTGTCGGTAGCGATAACGATAGAGATAACGATACCGATACCAATACCGATACCGACCCACTAATACCACCAGCGTACATACAACTCTGTCTACAGACCCCGAGAAATCAGTAGCGATAATAATACGAATATTAGACTATGGCTGACATAACTTTGAACAGATCCCAATGGTAAAATGTATACATTTTTTGTTTCTATATATATATATATATATATATATATATCTCATTTTTGGTTTATTTTTATTTTTTATGTTCCGTCAATAAAAAATTTTAAATTAAATAAACTTCAAGTTTGAATTGAAAGCTGAGGTTCATGGTATGATAAATAGAACAAAAACTATATATGTATATATAATCTATACATAAAATCCAACAAGCAGTTCTATCGTTTATGTGATTTTCGGGTAGAGCTCTCTCACATTTTGGTTCGTCGGATTTGTTATCGAGTCAAGACACCATCAGGCACAGCAACAACCACAATTGGCAACATATACACATATTCAAATGTATATCTGATTATCTGATAGTTATTCCGATATTTGCTTCAGTTTTATGCAATAAAATTCAAAATCATTCTTGCAACTTCTGCGGCACTCAAACAACATTTTTTTTCAAGGATCTGTTCAAATACGTTTTAATAATTTTTCGTTTTAATAACGACTACTAATTGCTGGGGTTGTAATGGCAGTTGTAATAGTAGCATTAGTAGGTGTAATGGCAGTAGCATGTAGTCTCTAATTTGTAGCTTCTTGGAGATGGCTACCATTTTGTTTATTTTTGTTTTTATTTCCACGGCGCTGGGTTGCATTTCCATTCCATTTCCGTTTCAAGCCGCCATTGCTGCCGCTGCATCATCTTCTTCTGCTTCCGCTTCGATGAATTTTCCGATTATTCCGATCGATAGCTCCTCAGCGGCATCTGCATCTTCAAGTGCAACAACAACAGTAGTGCCGCCTTGCATCTCTCCTGCACACAGACAAACACAAGCGAGATAGAGATAGATAGTAGATAGTGTTGGTTGTGATTTATTTATTTTTGATTGTTGATAGTGAGAGAGAGACAGTGAGAATCTTGCAAAATTTTTAGTTTGTTTCTGCGAGTTTCGTTTTTGTTGTGATGCTTGGTCCTGCCCAAAGAGTTATTTATAAATACTATATAGTACTCTATGAAAATATATATTATACATATATACTCTTGTTTTGCATTTTTCGTGGCTTTTGAATTTCAGTTTATATCTTTATTTTGATTTGGATTTGATTTGCATAAAATTGAATGGTATTTTCAAAAGAATTTGAACTTTTCTTGAAATTATAGTGCACTCTTGCTTAGATTTGAAATATATATATATTATTTGTTGGTTGCATTCTGTTGTTGTTGTAGCTGTTGTTGTTGTAGTTTAGTAGTAGTAGTAGTAGTAGTAATAGTAGTAGGTTGTTTTTTCTGTAGATGTCTTGGTTGTTTTTTCTTTAATTTTTTTTTTATTTTTTTGGGAAAAATATAGCTACTTGAGTTAAGTTTCGAAAAATTTCTTGAATCTGGCACTTATTTACGCACACAGAGACGCACACATACACAACAAAAATGTAGGGGGTTAGTAGGGGGTGGCAAAAGTATCGGAATATTATCGATTATTGGTTACATTCTCGTTCCTCTTTCGATAGATTCTGGTGGTGGTGGTAGTAGAGTAGTAATAGTAGTATTATCGTCTGGTTTCTATTTTTGCAATGGTTAGTAGGCGATTAGTTTGGATATAGCTTTTGCAGGCAAGGCGGGCGGGTGGTGAGTGGCTGGTGGGCGGGATAGTTGTAGTAGTAGATGGTAGTAGTTTTGGGACTACTGGGCACTACTCATATACGGTTCTAAGCTTTATCCGTGTGATGGTGGTGGTACTTGTTGTTGGTTCTTGTAGCTGTTGTAGTTATTGTTACCGAAAACCAAAAAAAACTGTTGTGAAAACAATAATACAAGATTAAAACGAAAAAGTATACAGAAATCAAATAATACACAATTAGTCAAAGTTTTCTTTTGTAGGTTAGTGATGGGTTTTTATTATATTCTTTGGATTTGATTCTTCTCTGATCAAGTTTTCCTTTAAAGTCTCGATCGTTGGTGTTTAATTCTTCTCTATATGAGAAAAGATGTGCAAATAGAAGCTTCGAGGAAATTGTATTTTTTTTAATTGTTAAGTTTTGTCTTGCTGTTTGTTGATTTATCGATAAATATCGATTGTTTGGTATGCTTTCCATTTTGTAATTCTTTGGCTCTTAGCGGATATATTATCTTAAAATTGTTACAAAAAAAAAAGATTCCTTTTTTTGGTTGTTGCTTGATGTGATTGTTGTTGTGGCTGTATTTGTTGTTGTTGTTGTGGTGATATTTTGTCATATATTACATAATGTTGTTGTTTTTGTTGTTGTTGTTGAGACATTTTTACAAGTGTTGTGGTTGATAGTAGATTTTAGTAGTTTTAGCAATGAAAGTAGTACCTCTTGTTGGGTTAATTGTTTCTTATTTTTTTAGTAAAACGCATTTGATGTGTGGTTGTTGTTGTTTTTTTTTTTTGCTTGTTCTTGGTTTGATTGTTCTTGTTGTTGCGGGTGTGGTTGTTGTAGTTGTTGCTGCAGGCTGTTGGATTCTTGATACAAATGGTTGCGATTCGTGTCGACAGATACGAACTGATTGGATCTGAGAACTGAGCTGAGAACATGGTCACTTATTATCCTTTTTTTTTTTTTTTGGTCGGTTTCGGTTCACTGGCACACTCACAAAAGTCGGAAAAAAAATAAGAAAAGGAAACTCTAAACTATGCCCTCTCCATTGGGGCTTTTCACAGATTTGTGGATGGATTTCCCCTTGGGTTGTCAAAGATATGTGATAAAGATTTTTAGATTGGCTAAAGGATAGTAGTAGTAGTAGTAGTAGGTACGAGTATTTGTATGTAAAGCTAAGCTAGGCTTAAGCTAGGATATTTTCTTTCTCTATATATATATGTGGGTATGTAGTATTTAAAGCCTCTAAGAGCCATGTTTAATGCTGAAAAGTGTATAGATGTATGACTATATATATGAGTGATGCTGTGCAGGGATAATGTCTTGGTTAAGTGTGGCTTAAAGCAGAGGAACTCAAAAGATCAGGCAGGAAAATTATTATTAGCCATAAAGCCGCCCGCAAACTTCATAGATAGACACTCTAAATGTAGGACTACTATTAAGCCAAAAAGTTGGCCGTTGGACCTTTGGCCATTATGTGGGAAGCAATAAAAGCCATTTTAATTGGTTCTAAATGAGTGAGGTCCACGCAATTGCACAGACAAGACATAATACCACTCGCCGCACATAAATGTGGGCTGGCGAGAAGGGTTCCTGCCTGGAAATAAAAGCCCATATCAGATTGGGGGCCACAAAGGCCAAATTATTCACACTGATTACATAAAGTCTTTGCTCGGTTTGGCATAAAATAAACCATGCTGAAAAAAGTAAATCGTTATAATTACGATGTATTAGATGGGCAGACCAAATGCCGAATAACACACCCATCCACCCACCCAATGACACACAAATATTTCGCTGTATACATAGGAGGAAGTGGCATATGGTGGGCACTAAAAACAAATTGGGGGTCCAGGATAGCACAGAGCTCAAGATAAAACGAAAATAATCAGCAGGCAGTCAGGCAGTCCTAAGGACGAGGGACTCACGAATAGAAATACAGGCACTTGCAGAAATTGTAGTGTCATAAAAATAAATAACCCAAAACAGCATCATAGACAGGATGTACAGTAGAGGATATTGTACGTATGTGTTTGTTGGAGGAGGAAGAGGACGAGTCGCAGTTGCTAAAGAAGAAAGCAATGTTGATTTAGGATAAAGTAAGCACAACAACACATACTGAGAGCGTTTTTCGATAGCAATTTAAATAAATAGAAACGCTCCTCGCAAAATGTGGGCATAATTGAAATCACTAAAGCTCCGAGAGCCCGTAGCCGTAGCAGTTGCCAGGACAATATTTACCAACGAGTTTCCAACGTGATTTGCATGCGTGTTAGTTGGAATGTGTATGAATAATTTATATCCATTTAATTCGATTGTTGTGGCAAAATCACAAGAGTCACTAGAAGCAGAGGTAGTGGCAATGGCAGTGGCAGGAGCAGGAGCTGGGGGCCAGGATTTGTTGTAGTGGTTGGGGAGTGTTGTGTGTTGTGTCACCTGCCTGACTTGGCTGGGGCCAGAACATAATTTAATCATAAACATAAAATAGTTTTGTCATGTTTTATTATTCAACCTCGGAGCGGAAGCATGAGGAGCCCATGGTGGAGCGAGTGTGAGTGTCCTTTTTAATGCCCGCCATGAGGCTCCTCATCAACTTCTCTGTGTGATGCCCCGATGTCCCGAGTCCCTTGTTGCGGCTCTCTTTTTATGACATTTGGCATTTCCCCTGGCCCAGGTCCTTTGTCCTTTGTCTGGTTTTATTTGTGTCTCGGCTTTTATTGAAATTTTCCCTTTCTCCCCCACTTTTTTTCCTTTTTTTTTTTGGTTTTCCTGCTGCCAAATAAGGTAGTAGCGATGGTATCCCTGTTCCACTTTTCTATGATTGTTATTTTGCTGCTGTTTCCGTGCATTTGGAAATAAAATAAATAATGACTGCCATTACGGTGCACGTTTTTTGTGTGGTTTCTGGGGAACCCCCAGGGGAAGTTTTTCATGACATTTCTGTGGTTAATTATGACCAGGCCAGGCTCTTTGTGGTTATCAGAATACGCAATCAAAGCCCAAAATGCTTTCTAATGCAGGCCAGAGTCCTAATGAGTTGGCAGCCGTTCTATTACCCATTTTTTCCGCCTCTTTTGCGCCCCATTAGAACTGCAATTTTGTGCAAAAGTGCCGCCAATCAATTTCCAGAATACTGCCAGCTATTCTTCAGCCACATAACAAAATTAACTTTGAGACAAACTATCCGGCAAAACGAAACTGTCACTTGGCATCAGGAAAATGCACGTTGGTTTGTCAAATGGTTGCAAACTACAAGTCTAAGAATAGTACGAACTACTACGAAAAATCGAACGTCCTTGGGGGCCAAAAGTGAGCCACCAAGCCAGCCAGAAAGCAAAAACAATTTTCAGCCAAATAAGGAGCAAGCCAGCTAGGCAGCAAGAGCACATCGCGTGACAACACGAAGGCAAATGGGGAAGACTACTGATGAGCAGAACGGAGGAATGAATCCATCTGGGCAAAGGATAACCCCCATCCGGACGGAAGACGCAGCCACGCCGGATGACAGCGAAATGAGTGGAAAATTAACAAAACGCGCATAGATAAAATGCACGTGGTGGGTGGTTGGTGGGTGGTGAGCGGTGAGCGGTGGTTTTTCCCGTGTTCTTCCAAAAAAAGAAAAAGGAAAGTCTGAATAATGTATATGCAGGAACCGTGGCGGTTGTCAAATGCAAATGCAAATACAAATTTTCGGTATGTACTTGATGAAGTTTTGCGCTACAGAAGTAGCTCCCTGCTTTCTTGACAGCCGGAGGGTGGAAATTAAGGGTGATAGTGGTGCGGTGAGTTGGTGGTGCGGTGGGTGAGCACAGAGCACTCAAGTCAACTTGTTAAAAACTTCTTTGCTACTTTAGACGACCAGCCAGGCAGCCAGGCAGTGAGGCAGTCAGGCAGCCAGTCATTTCGAATGCTTTTTTGGCCACCGAAGCACCGAAGGAGGAAAGGAGAGTCCTTCTCCTGTTTACCCAAGGCGGTGTCCTCGTTCTCGTTCACGTGCTGGCATTTTGTATCGATTGTCGGGTACGGGTCCGGGAAATGGCAAAAAAAAGGTAGTTTGAGTAAAGGGACAGAAACCACGGACACGGAAGGGATAGCTATGGAAAGAAAAAGAGTCGAGGTTGAGCAGAAAATCTTATGCAAATATTATGTTTGCATTTTCCACTTTATATTTAACTTGCCTCACTTCACTTTTTGTTTTCTTTGGCCCGTTGTCGTTCTTAGCCACTTGTTATTGTTGTTAAGACAATAAAGAACTCGTCGTGGAAACTAAATTGTGGGTGTGGACTGTCACTTGCTACGATTTTAATGAATTCTATTGATTTTGCGACAGCAGGTCAACACGGCAGTTGAGTAGCAAAGTGCTTTCATGCCAAAGAGCAACTTGCCAAGTGGTCAGTGGGTGACACACAAAGTGGCAGGACGATTATTGCATAACCCGAATCGAGATTAAAAATTTAAAAGACTAATCTCTCTGTTAAATTTAATCAAAAACCGAAATGCAATTAGTAAATGCTTTTGAAAGCCACCGAGAAAACTCTCCAAAATTAAATCCTTCCCACCACTCTGGCCCAGGAAATTGCGGTGGTCCTTCGGGCGTTATTCCTCAAGTGCAATCCCCGTTGAAAGCATCCTCCGGGCCACAAAAGGCTGGATGAAAGCGCCACCTTCTCGAATCGTTCATTCCCTAGCGTGGCAGTGGCATGTTCATTATATCGGACACAAAGATAGTGCCAGGCCTAATTTACAAGCTGCCACACCACCCCCCCAGCATCGCCCACCATAATGCGCTGGCAATGAGGCTGTAGCTACACATCTCCGCCCACACTTCGAGCAGCAGCAGCTCATGGAGGCGGCGCCAAGTTCATTCAGTTTTGCCATTCATTGATGCCAGCCGGAGCAGGCAGCCAGCCAGGCAGGCAGGCAAATGGTTGCAACAAAAAACAAGCAGTGGTTGTGGCAGACTTTTGGCCTCCAAATGGAAATGGCAATACAACAGGGCGGATGAATGCTGCCGAGGATCAGCCAAAGTTGGATGAAAAAAAAAAAGTAGTGGGAAAACTCTGGCCCAACTGTCTGAGTTATTGTGGCTTTGGTCACAACTGGTACAGCTGACACTTGGTAATAGTGCGTTGGCCTGGACAGGATTCGCTGGTGGCTCAGTTTGTCGGCCTTTTGATGTGCCCCGTCTGTCTCCTTCGCTTCCAGCATCCAACAAATTGGCCCAGCCAACAACAAACGACGAGGAATGACAACGAGACAACATGCAACGGCAATGTTGACAGTGCCGCCCGGTTGTCTGGCACAAGAGACAGCCAGCCAGGCCAGCCAGGCAGTCAGGCAGCCCCTGGCCGGAGGAGCATTTAATTTCATTTTTATTCAAAGTGAAAAAATACAAATTAAGAATGGCATTTAATGCGCAACTTTGTCATGTGGAGGGGAGTGGGCGTTCGAAACAGGTGGTGTTTATTCCAAAAATAATCTATTCCACTTGACTAGGTGCTTTGATTTAATGAGTTCTGCTCTAGAGTTGGCGTGTGAATAATATTTAAGAATGTGGTTAATATTAATTATTAATTAGAGGGAAAGGGGAAAGAACAAAACTGAAAACCCAGGAAATCACGCATACGCCACGTTCAACCGCCTCTCGCAACGCTAACTTAAATATTTGGCCAAAAGGAGGCATCGGCATTTCCCAGGATCTCTCAAAAGCAATTTATTTTTCGTGTATCCTTAGAGTTTGGGTGTGAGTGTGTCTGGGTTTTGGATGCCTGTGTCTATGATAGAGATGTGTTTCGAGGGCGCAAGTGTGTGTATGTGTTTTGGGCGAGGGTGTTCATATATTTTGGGTGCCAGAGTGTGTGAATGTTTCGCTTGATGGTGCATCACTTACTGACTAGTTTAGGAAAAAAGTAGTAAAAAATGTGAACGCACTTGGTAGAATCTCACCTGTGCTCAGCGTGTAGTCCCAGCTGGTATCTGGCTCGTTCTTGTACACGTTCAATTTCTCTGGCTGTAATTAGAAATAATTCAATATCCGTTCGATTGAAAGAGTCGCATTTGATCAATTGCGATCGATCTTACCTTGGCATAATCAATTTTTAAAGTGCAGCATCCGGCATAGATGTCGGCACCGTTCAGATTCTCGCGCGCTCTTGTGGCGGCATCCAGATTATCGAACTCGACCATGGCCTGGACGCCGTTCTTTTTGAATATGACGATACGCAGAACTTGGCCATGTGGATGACAGATTTTGTGCAAGACATCCTGTGGAAAATTAAGTGAAATAAAGTTACTCTCGGTTGCTAATGATTCTTGCGAAAAGTTGCTATGGACTAAGGTTAATTGGAATTGAATGATTTGCCATTCAGTGACCACCAACCGTAAGCACTTTTGTGGACAATTTCACTTCGTTTGGCCACTAAACCAAATTTGATTTGTGTCTTTGGGTGTTTTTGTTTTTTTGGTGGCCTTCGTTTGTCTGACATAATTGGAATTTCGTGGATTCTAAGCTAAGGGAGTTCTGGCTCTATATCGGCTGTGTGAAAAGCTCAAGAACTCATTAGCATAATTTAATAAGCACTTTCCGTTGTACTATGCCAAAAGAAATTTCCCAATTAACATTCATAAATTTTCGGAAATTACGTTAATGAGTTTCGAGTGTGCCAGCCTGACTGCCTGCCTGCCAGAAGCAAAAGCCAGGGCGTGTCAAGTCTAGGCCAACAAGAATGAAATAAGAATACCTCTGGTATTCTGGAGACCAGAGTTTGGGAATTGATGGCAAATTATAATGAGCATTGGCCGTTGGCATGGAAATTTATGGAAAATTTAAGCCGCCAAATTTTCCTCAACCACGCTCCCCCAAAAACAACAAGGACTCGGCCCGAGTATCTGCCAGCGACTTCTATTTATTCATTTTACAAGAGAAATGATGGCAGTAGAGGAGGGTGTGAGGGTTGTCAGAGCCTTCTTGGCCCTTCTCGAGGGGGCCGTAATGGGTTAAATGTTCAATTTGTTTTGCCAGGCTGGGGGAGGGACGGAAATTGCCAAAGCGGCTTTGTCTTTTTTTGGCGAGAAGCAATATTTTGTTATTCATGAAATTCATCGATAAGTCCTCTGGCTCATGAAAATTTGAATCTTGTTGAAAACTTTTAATATTGATTTGCATTAGACATGAGCCAGAAAGGGAGGCACAAGGCCACTTGATTAGGCCAAGAATGCCAAGCAAGGCCTAGCTAGGAGTGAAGGATTTTTTTTGGCCTATGCAAATATTCCAGCGGGAAATTGTTTTGGGCCGACTTTTGAGACAAGGGATGAACGACTTCTGGTTATGGCATCGTCGTTAAGACGTGATAATGGCTGATGTTTCGCTATATACCACTGTATACATTATTACTTAATTATTAATGAGGATGCTGAGACAGGATGATTTTTTTCTATCTCCTGTTTGCACACACTTAACACTTGCAGTATCCTTCCATGTCCTTCCATCACCATCAACCGCAAAAGTTTTCTAATTAGTTTTTGTGTGCAAACTGCACTTTATAGTTGTGCATTCTGTTCCTGGGAAGATACAGGAAAACAAGAGTGTTGGTGGAAGGAGAAAGGGAAACGGAAGTAAGACGGAAAGTAGAACCTGAGCCCCAAAGGCAAGTGCCAGTGGATGGAAACGTTCTACGTTCTATGTTTTTTTCGCTCATTTTCATCTGGAATGACATTTTACAATTCGTTGTGAGCTGCATTTAATGCGATTTGCCAGAGGTCCTGCAGCAGGACAGCAGGACAAATGGAAAAAGTCAACATAGCTAAAGGACATGGCGTGGGAGAGAGAAATGAGAAAGAGGAGTCTCGATGGCGCACAAAATGTCTGCAATTATTGTAAATAGCGCAATCATCGAGCAAGTCAAGAGCGTCGTCGCATCCTCGAACATCATCCGGAAAAAGGAAGAACTGCTAGCAGGAGGTAGGAGGTCGGGTCAGGAAAAATTACTCCTGTTTATGAGATGAGCTTATTGAATAAATGAGGCGCGTGCTCTGGCACTTGCCACCATCCTTTCTCCCGGCTGACCATTGGGCATCTGAAAGGAAAGGATATTACGGGCGCTGCCCACTCATTGTTTGCCGGTAATTTGGCTCCATTAGCTGAATGGGAATGGAACTCCAGGGCCACACACACAAAGACTGATGAAAGCTGATTAGAGAAGGTCCTTGGGGAATTTAGGGAAAGTGTCAGGTCTCGAGTGTCCTCAATTGATAAATGACGGAGGAGAACTGCTCCAGGATGTGGCTTTTATGAGAAAATATACTATATATATTGGAATTCTGTGAGTGATAATCCCCCGGAATGAAATCTGTTCTTTATTTAGAAGAGTCGCCATAAACTAGTAACTGCATAACTGGGGGGCAAGCGCATAAAAAAGTTCAACATTTTCACGAGCTGTTGAAATTAAAAAACTAATCCACAAGAAGGCGAGAAATAAAAACTCGGGGGCAGCAAAATACACAAAAATAAAAAAATATAAAAAAGAAATCAAAAAAATAAAAACAAATAAACCGCCTCGAAATGAAAGTATTAATAAACCAGTGGGCGAGGCCGCAAGTAGAGGAGTTTCGGCGGAGTGGGTGGTGGTGGGCGTTGGGCAGTGGGTGGTGGACTGGACATGGGTGGGTGGAGCATGAAACAGTTATTTAAAAAATAAGAGCCGCGCTTGCTCGCTGCCTGGCAATACATACGTAAAATTTTATGTGCACTATAACTTGTTCGACTGGCCGTGGCGATGGTGGCCAGACCCCGAAAAGAACGCCACGGAAAAAAAGGACAACAGCCGGAGCAAAAGCGGGAAAAATAAATTAATATTTTATCTAGAGCAGAGATTCGCATGCACTGGCCACGCCCCCATTGCCTCCCTCCCCTGCCATGCATTTTGTTTTGCCGTTTTATGGCCATCATCAAAAGCGCATTAAAATTTTACTAAGGCGTCATGCCGGAGGGATGGTGGTGGCTGGAAGCCGTGGCTCCGTGGAGGAGGTGCGGTGATTGTCCAGGCGTGCTAAATATTAAATCAGAGCAATGCCAACAACAGCGCCGGGCGGCAAACATTTTAAGCTGCTTTCCGCAGGTCCATCAACGTCCTCCAACGGATATCTCCTGGCCAATGCCAAACGCCATCATAAAGGATACAATAATGCAAAAGGACAACGCCGTCGGGAAATCGCATTAAATATTAATAATAATGTGTGCTTAGTTGCGATACCAAATCATTTTGTGGTCAGCCATTGTCTTTCCACTCTCCGATTTTACGGCCCAAACAATTTAGGACAGTCCCCCTCCCTTGGATGAAACAATGAAAGCATTCCTCCCGAACTCTTCGGCCTGGAGTTGAACAGATAAAGCCACCAAACAATAAAAGTGGTCCGATTAGCTGCGGAATACTTTCGGCTCCAAGTTCGATCAATTGTTATGGTTTGCTCCGCAAGAAACTGGAAGTCATTGAACCAAAAATACAAACCCAAATCGGAGTTCATTCGCCTTGCAGTTCCCTGTTTTGGTTTCGTTCTCCCTTGTCGGATAACCGCAAAAAAATTCAACAAGTTTCTCGCTCTTCTTGTTCTCGTTTTAAAAATTGTATTTTTTTTTGCAACAGCAGCAGCATTTGAATTTCTTATTGACCCATTTCTTTGGGGCACAAACACAAGGCAACGGCAAAGGCAAAGGCCCAAACCCCAAACCCGAAAAGAACGACCGTCGACGACCAAAAGCCCATTAAAACCGGTTTCGAGTCATTTGCAACACTTTCTGGCTGCAGCTGCCACGGGGAAGGTCGATCTGCGGGGGAGAGTAAGCCTGGCCAACTGCATCCCCCCGCACCAAGTGCCGTTAGTTGTTAGCCAAAAGCGAAAAAAAAAAAAAATACGGAGGGGGAATCGCGGCCCTTGAGAGGCAAGTAAGTTTCAACAACTGGAAAGACGGGTTCTTCGAGAGCATTTCCTTTGAAGAGAAATGAGTCGAGTCGTTAGAGAGTCGAGTCGAGTCGAGTTGGAAGGAAAACAAAAGAAATTAAATCCTGGCGAAAGCAAAGTAAATACCAAGTCGGATTTGCAATTTTTTGCACTGATTTCGATTCGATTATTTGGACAGTAAATATTTGGAGAGCCAGGGCCAGGAAAAATATCGCCAGAAATTAATAAACTGCATAATGCATTCACCGGAGCAGTGTGTCAACATAGGTGTGATATTTTTAATAATACAACAAATGTAAATATAATATTATGCCAAAAAAAAGAAACGCAAATGTCATCACACCGAGTAAAAATTGTTTACAAATATTTTGCTATCATTTCGATTTCCATTAACATTTTCCATTTCTACTGGCATGCCATTGGCGTGCAAACAACTCCCGGATGGGATGGCAAAAATTAGCATAATACAAATTATCAAAATTGAAAAATCGCAGAGGCATAAAATATGCATAAATTCACAAATGGAAGAGCTGTGAGATGGCGATGGCGTGCCTGAAGCGCGCGGTTGAGTGGAAAATAGGCAAAAAGAAAAAAAATTACGACGAGAAAAGCGCGGAAAAGCAAATTGGAAAATTTTTGTGTGAAAGTGACCGACCGAGCGAGACAGCAAAAAGCTGAGATGGTGCGACACTTCCGGCCAAATGCAAATGAGTCTAAAAGATGAGGGGCGGCGGCCAAGATTTGGCCATAAAATATTGTCATTAACATTAATTGAGGAGGCCGGTTGCCAAGAAAAGGAAGGTGCTTCAAGGACCATTGATGCCTCAATCAAGTGCCTGGCTAATGGCTAGAAATGTGAGTTGTCAAAAGGTATCCTTAAAGACCAGGATAGCAATTTTGTGTTTCAATTACCCAGAAATCGTTTTTAAAGAAACTGTCCCAGGCCCAGGCCAGGCTGGTTGTTATCGCACCTTTACCCGGGACTTAAGTGGCCATTGCCGAGTCGGAGAAGAGGCTGCTAATTTTTTTCAAGCACCTCCCCCTGCCGGCAGCTCTTCAGTTTCAGTTTTACAACCAATAAAAAGAATTTTATGACCACAAACATTAAAATGTTCAAATTGAAAATAAGCACAAAACAAAACAGAACACGGCACAACACACAAAAGCAACAAAGGCGAAACATGAAAGGAGAGTGCCTCCTGCCAGCCGGGAACCGGGAACTGGGAACTGGGAGCTGGGAGCAGGGATCTGGGAGCTGAAGCTACATTTTAAACCAAATTTATGTGGCACAAAGGCAGTGAGCGTTGAAAGGCAACGGAAGTTGGCCAAGGGGTGCCAGGGAGGTAGATCCATAAAGGAGATCCCAAGGTGGCGGTAAGGTTACCAGAGGGGCATCTCCTGTCAGTTGCCAAACAAAAGTCCAAAGACGACGATGGCGGATGTGTGTGTGTGTGTGTATGCGTTTGAAGTTGGCCAGGCCAACAGGCTAACGCCCAAAAAGGGGGGAGGAGACGAGTAGCCAGGACGAAAATGCCAAAGGAACAACAAGACAATGCTGGGAAATTACCAAAGCACAGAAGCCAATTCGAGCATGAAAATGTAAACAAGGAGAGAGGTTAGAGCCATGTTTAAAAAAAGCAGAGAAACAAAATCCAGAACTTAAGGAGGAGAGAATCCTGGCGAAAATGTGTGTCGCATTTGGTTTGGGGAGAAGGCCTGTGGCATGTACAACGGGGCGTATGAAAAAAAAAATCAGCAACAGCCGCCGCCATGCCTTGCCACAGCAAGGTAACACAGGCAACAAAATCAACAGTTAGCCAATGAGCCTGAAAGTGGCAGAGAGGATGAAAAAGCGGGAAAAACAACAACCCGTTACAACAACCTGGAGGGGCCCAAGTTGTTTTGAAGGGAAAACCCAGCCGGGATGGAGATGGAGATGGGATGTAACGACTTTGGATGGTGGTGGTGGTGGTGCGGCAGGTGGATGCGATGGTATGCCTGGCTGGCGGATTGGTGCCAGAAGTTGCACAAGACAATTATAAACGTAATGGCAACAACAGTTAGCCAACAAGCCCGAAGACCAGCAGCCGGCAACAAAGGCAGAGTGGATGGCAAAAGTATCGTTAGTGAGCGAACAGAACCAGCAGCACCGGCAGCTGAACGCATAAATTCTGTTTAACAATGCCAGAGACAATGGGGAAAAGGGGCAGCTAGAATGGAGCTCTGGTGGTGCTCTGGGTGGTTCTCAGGGTGGTTCTCAGGGTGGTGCTGATGGAGCCGTGGAAAACCCAAGAAAAACTCAGGGAAAACAGGTAAGAGCAATGAAGACGCAGCACTGTGGTGAACATCGCGTAGGTGTTCCGTCCCCTTCGGTCGGTCGTTAGGCTAAAAAGCTAACGCAGATAATGTTCGTCCAGGTACGGCTCACCCACCACCCACACCACCCAAGCCACCCCATTTCCCCCCTTTATATAGGAAAATGTTGCATTAGAAGAAATGAAAGTGGTGGCAGGGTTGTAACTGTGTCAGGGTTGCAAAGGATTGCAAAGGAAATTAAAAGGGGATTGGAAAAGATGTTTCGGGCCAAAGTCAAAGACTCGAAGGGAAATGGGAAACAGCCAGCACCAAGAACCCAACACCCAGCAGCAACAACAGCCAATTCTCAAAAGAAAATTGCACAAGCTGAAATTATTTTTTTCCTTATCTGGCGAGCCAAATTGAAAAAAGGGTTAGAACCATTAAAACATGACTCGGATGTAATGGACGATAAGCCAAAATTTTTTCATTCTACGATGCAATTAAGTTTTTATGTCAAGAAACTTAAAAAAGGGAGTGATTGCGGCAATAAAATACTTGGGGATATTACTTCCGGAGCGGATGTTCTATGGATACGATCTAAAAGATACATCCATCACTGTAAACCCTATACGGGTTTACAAAAAAAAAAAAAAAAAAAAAAAAAATCTTAAAAATATTTTGTCTCAGGATTTTGATGCAGAATGG